GGAACATTATGAACATTTGTTCATCTGATGTCTTGGGAGCACTTCGTTGATCACTCAACATGCTGGAAAAATTATAAAGGTCTTCAGGCTTTTTGACCTTTTGTACCTTTCAATACTTTGTAGTAATGGAAAGACAAAAATTTTTCCTAAGCTGTTTCGGTAGCTACTTATTCTTTACTTTAAATGAGTGTGAGAAATAATGATGATTTTTACGTAATATAAGTGTAACACAGGAACTTACTGTATCTTTGGTGGCTATATGGGAGAACCTTCTGTTATGACAGAGGTACACAAACACTGAACAGATCACTACCAAATCCTTCCACATTTGATGGTGTTAATATGATAACAGTCAAAACTTTTTCACTATGAGATTTGGAATTGTTTGATGGTCCTTCTCTGAAGCTTCTGCAGTGTTTCTTATGTCACCCATCCTGCTGGGACTGTGGACTTACCAATTCAATTCCCCATGGATCTTCTTCAAGCATCTAATGTCTGTACTTAGCTCCTCCAGCTACAGCCTCCCTTTCTGCTGTGCTACCCACCCATCCTAACATGCACTGAACAGTCAAATCCTCTTCAGAGTCACTGCTCTTCCCAGAAAGTACAGATGGGCAGCTACACTTTGCAGGGTGGCTTATCATTGGTGACACTATTTGTTGAGAAAACTTGCTTATGTTCTTTATTAACTACTGCTCTCCCAGTCTGCATGTCACCACGGAACTCTGCAACTCTATTTCATGTTTTCTTCCAGATTGTAACCAAAAATACCCTTAATCTGTGTACATTTTATAAATGTATGAGTTTGGCTCAATGCTCTCAAAGAACCTAGCTTGAGGTGTTGCAATGAAACACAAAACTGTATTTTTGGTTTTTTTAAATAGTTGTCTTCCCCCACGGGAAGAAAGAAACAAAAAGAAATGAAAACCACTTGAATTCCACATTAACCTAGGCATGAAAGTGAGGTCACCTTATGAAGCTGCTTCTTTCTGTTAATCAAATAGTAGAAGACTACTCTTTCAATCCAGCCATGTGAATTACAACATGTGAGTACCTGCTACTTTCCCCTTCTCTAATGTACCACAGTGTACACTACCACAGTGGTTTGAACTTGAGCTTTCAGGAGCTTTGCTGAATTATAACACGTAAATCCTGTCTAGGACTAAGATCTTTATGTAAAATTTTCAGAAAATTGTGGATTCCTACAATGTCTTGTGTGACATATCTGATAAAAGCCATACCCACTCCTTTGTCTACAGAGCCTGTAATCCTATCTGCCTTTTGTCCCGGTAACATATCTAATCCACATGCCACATAATTCTTTGAAATCTGAGGAAAAAAAAAAAGCATGGATTTCCAATAGTTCTTCTGATTTATCTGTTGAAGAAACTATTTTCTCAACAGAAAAAGAATGAAAATGCCACTTGAAAACATTAGTTTGGATTTACAGCAAAGAAATGTTGGAATTGCAACAGTGCATGCTGACATGAGCAGTATATCTATTTTTAAGGGTCCCAATCGTTTAAGTTTGCAGTGAGGTGTTTTTTAATAGTGACATAATAACAAAGTTGCAAGTGCATATTTATAAAAATAATTTAAGAAAAGGCAAAAGTAAAATTAGTAATAGTGATCTGAATGCTTGAAGAACTTAAGCGTTGAGATCTATTCACATTTCGTGAAAGTTCAAGGCAACAACTTTCTTGTAACTGTTTTTTATGATCTCTAGTTTATGGTTATCTACATTAATCAGTGGTGCCAGAAATAAAATCTGTGTTCAACTTTCTCAATTGCCTCTTTTGAGCTCTTGTAGGTGATACAAGCTGTGACCTTCTCCCTCAAGAGAAGAGATGGCACAGCCAGAGAGTGCTCCAATAGAAATAAAAGTAAAACCACACTCACAGAAAGCAAGAAACAGAACTAAAAGCTTACTGAGCTAAATGAGCTCCTTGAAGGGACACAATGAAAGAACAACCCTCCCCACCAAAATCAAACCACGGAAAATAATAGACTGAAAAAAAAGAAAAATTACCAAATCCTCAGGTAGTGTAAAACTCTGCAACTCTACTGCCTTCAGCAGAGTCTGATGATTTTCACTAGTTGAGGAGAGGCCTAGACATTTTAATTTTACTCTGTTGGGCACTAATTATTGCCAAAGACTAACGTCTCTGTTGCCATTGATCTTCATATCTGTTTTTTCTTTTTTCTCGATATTTTTGAACATCTCGCTCTCATCCAGGCAGTATTTGCAGTCAATTTTTAAAGGCATGTTTCAAGAATCCGCAAGTAGCAATTAAATTTGATATGCTAACTGCTGTAGTGATTTTTAAGTACTGCTTTAGAAAGAAGCTAAATTAGGTGCATATAGATTCTAAATAGTAAATGACAACGCTTTCCTTTAATTTCTCAATGTCTCTTCAACTAGGGCCCTTAGAAATGACATATTTCGTCCGAGAAAAGGACATTATGTCTATTCTACCGTAGTTTGATGCGTAACAGCACATTTCGAGGCATGCTCAGCTATACAGCCAACAACCACCTTACGGAGATACACCTTATTAGCTTTGACAGAAGGCTAATAAATCTCCAGCCTGGAGGGCGCTCCCTGGGGAGGCCTGGCTCCTTACCTTTGACATGGGGGATGAAGTGGTGTCGGAAGGGGGAGTTGGGGCGGGAGTCATGGTGAGAGGAGCTGAGACTGCTAGTGCGCAGGTATGACAACCGCTGCACACCAGTAGAGAGCAGCTCTGCGGCAGCAGGGAACCGGGGGGGCAGGACAAAATGAAAACAAAGAAAAACAATAAGAGAAAGGCAGGGAAGGAGGCTTCAAAGGAAGGAGATAAAAAAAAGGCATTGAGCAATTAGGATTCTGAAAAGAAGGAAGGAGAAAAAAAAAAGGTTAAAGACGTACCGAAGGGCTCATAGATACTAGACAAAATTACAGGAAGTATTAGAAAAGAGGCTTAGATTTGAACTGCATCACTAATTTAGCATAATGTTTATTGGCTTAATGAGCTTCTGATCTATGACTTGTTACCAAAAAGCAGCCTGCTACCAGCATGCAAACATCACGCACACTGACGTTCAATTAGTTAAGAAAGCAGCTGTTTTGAAAAGTGCCTGACCAAAAAATGTCAGTCAAGAGGCATGCAAGCTGTTTTTTATTGTTTTAAGACATTCCAAAAATGCTGCCAACACTAGCTATGGCACTGCAGGAAGAAAAGGCTGCAAACTTTTGCAAAACATGTGGCACTCAAATTTTTGAAGAACATATGCTGACAACGTCAACACAGTGGTTCACTTCTCTCTCAAGGGTCAGCTGAGAGCCAAAGAGAAGTTATCTGGGGCCACTGGGTTTATTCAGAGAGAAATTGTTCTTGCAAGTAACATGATAAGAAGGAGGAAAATGGTAAACATACACGTGCTATTATTTAACAGGAATAATTACTGTGGGAAACTTATGAAGTAGCATTAACAATTACCCCAAAGCAGGGTAGCAAAGATCAAAATTATGAGCTCCACAGAGTATCTTCTGTGTCATATGAGAAACAGGTGAGCCAAAGATGAGATCATCCGAACAGAGATAAGTTCGAACAAATATCTTCTCCGAGAATCCCCCAGGCTTCAAACTTTTGAAGATTTTACATTTGGATCCAAACTCTTGCTGGAGCCCATCCACCCATCACAAGAGTTACATAAACAGAGATTGCTTCTGGGGAAGGTCCTTGACTGAACACAGACAGTAAAACTCAAACACAGTGAAGTCTGGAATAGGGCCTGGATTTGTTCATATCCCTGATACAACTGAGACAAATGGAAAAATCCCCTCAAAATTGCCAGAATCAAGAGACAGAAGTTTGCAGCTTTTTCACGCTTCCAAGTCTCTTTCGGTTTCAGTTGTAACATCATCTTAAAACACAGGCATGTCAGAACTACGGATCGGATACAATTTGCTTCTGTCCCACCTCCCTTGGGCCCTTTAAATAAGGCATTCACTGACAGACACAATTAGCTGCTTTCAGCCCACCCCCACTAGGAAATGGCTACAGCATTCAAGTTCCACAGTGCCGGCTCTATTATAAATCTTTAATTTTGAAAATGCAGCTCCTATTGTATATGGGCTTTTGGCACGCCAACTGCTCAGCTGTAATCACCAAGGAAGATGAAGCTGCATGATTGTATCACTTAATTTAAAAACAGATCACAAAGATTTAATTCATTACCGCAAACAATGAAATCAGTCTTGAAAAGTCTTCAATGAATAGCATTTAGAGATACATTTTTATGCAATTTGGGTGTGGATGAACAGTTCATTTTCATATCTTGCTTTTATATATATAACCGGTAATTTTGAATGCACTGGGAACCTGAATGACCTGTACATTTTCTATACTGTATATAGAACTTGTACATCACTGCTAAATCAATAAATCAAAATTGTGTTTTTCAAATGTTCCCAGGCAATTGCCTATGCCTTTAATTCAGAAATCTACCTCATGAACCATGAGTTTATGCTTAAAACTATGACTAGCGATTTGGAACATTCGGAGATTTTGCTGCTGAATCTGGGATTCTATGGCTGCACCAAGGTTTAAATCCATTATTTTTTAGGTGGGAAGAATCCTATATTACTGATTTCTGGGTAGTCAAGCCATAACTTTTGTTTCCTATATGTGATACTTTTCCCAAATTCCAGAATGAAGTCTGCGTGACCCACTGCTGCAAGTTTTTGGTCACTTCCAGAAACACATAAGGATTTAAAAAATAATTTATCAGAAACAAAACCAGAAGATCCATAGTTACAACACAAGAAACATTCATCAGCAAAAGACTGCATCAATCGAGAACAAAAAAAACAGGTACGAAAGGAGATATTAAAATAAGCAAAAGTTTTTCAAACCTAAATTTTCACTGCTAAGAGAAACAAATGTTTCACTGTGCCAATAAGTGACAGCATGAAGAAACAACAGCTTTACGTATACTTGTAATGCAGTTGCCCTTACCAGGTCTGTGGAAATGCTGAGGGGAACGTGACATGGTGGGTGTGTAGCTATGACGACTGTACACTGGAGAATTAATGGAGCCCTGACTAGTAGACCTGTGAATCATGCGATCTCGAACGTCTTGATAACCCTGCAGAACAGAAGCATTCACTAATTAATGCTAGCGCACGTGACACAATTTTCAGCAGCACTTAACTGTAATGGATCTGAAGGCATCAGCAGAAGGCACTGAAATAACAATATCCCTTAAAGTTCTCAACCTACTTCATTATTGTTGTTCTCTAATGATCTGTTCCAAAGACTCAAATCCATTTTTGTAACCTGGGTCAGAGTTCAGTGTCGGAAAGTTCAAACTCCACCTGTAATTTCTATTAAATTCTAGATAATCCCAGATTTGCCGACATTGCTGTGACTCTATGAGGGAAGCTGCGTTCAGCACAGGTCTGTCCTGCAGCACGCTGCACAAGATACATGAGCTAGCCTTCAGCTAGGTAACGTGGAGACCAGCAAGAATTCAAAAGCTGCAGAACTCTATGGCTTAATTTACCATGTGTCTGGACTAGCTACATCAAAAGCTATTTAGTATCAAAAATAGACTTCCCTTGTATTTGAAATGTAATGCCTTGTTGTATAGTACAAATCAATTTACTTGATTCCTGCAGGGAAAAAGGCTATAAAAAATCCAACATTTAAAAGGCTGAACAAACAAACCTACCCTCCACCCCTCAAAGCCCCATGAAGCAAATTGAACCAGGTCAAAAAGAACATGAATATTTACAAGGAATTCTATAGTAATTTTTTTAACACATAGTAATCTCTACGACTTTTACCTTGCAAAGAAGCAACGCTCCCCACCCCTGAAATGATAATGATACTGCAGGGCACCTATCGTATCCTGACAAATGACTACTCAAATGTTTCATGTCACTGTGATGTTCAAATTAACACAACCAAACCATAGCTATGCTTTCGTCAAGACAAAACTGCAAATGTTTTAATAGCAATCGTGGCTTATTATTCAGATACTTAAACAGCCTTTTAGCTCGTGTAAATCACCCAGCCCCTGAGATCTGGGTCGGTTTGTGCCACATGAAGGATGGATGTTCAACAACTGACTTCTCCCAGGCAAATTGACAACATATGGGTAAGAGTGGTAGCTTCATTTTTTGTACAATCTGCCAATAAGTTTCAATATTCAGAAAACATGCCTGTGTGGCAAACAGAGATGGATCAGACTGATAGCAAAACCAACGCCTGCATTTCCTGAAGTGATTAATTCTTATCACAGTAAGCTACTGCCCCCAAAGGTTTCACCAAACTTACTTCTGCAGAAGGGGTAGGTGATAATGTCCTTGGAGACTGCAAAGACATAAAAATAAGGTTACTGAAGCATTGCATGTGCTGGGCCAGAAAACAGTAGTCTAAACATTGCTGGCGGTACACTGAGAGATGGCAACTTAAAACGGCAGTGTAGAAACTACTGAGGCCATTGCAGCACTGGAACTTGCTTTTTCCATGTTGCTCAGGAACTGGTCCATAAATCATTGAAGCAATCAAAGTCTCTAGGAGAATCTTTATAAGCGTGATTAATTCAGTCAAATATCATGCAACATCATCTCTCAACCATCTAATCATTGTGGTAATTAAAATATAGCTGTAAAGATCAAAATCAGAAAGGGTTATTAATTTAATAACCATGCCTGTTACAAAGAAATCTTTAAAGTGGAAATCAAAAGTAAATAATCTTAACTCACAGCTTTGCATGGAAAATCAGAAATATAGAGTAACTTCCAGGATGAAGCATGTTTTTCTTCCAACATACATGCTCTGGGCAAAAAAGTGCTTCTCCCCAAGGCTTTACATTTCATACCCATGCAAAGAAGTACGTAGCTGTCATCAACATTTCTTTGATAAGATCTCCTTTAAATCTTTGTGTTCTGCCATGGTTACATAAGGAGAACAGACAGGAATTACAAGCATGGCTATTGAAAGAACCACACAAAGGCCAGTGGGCAGAAACATGCATGATATTACGAAAAGTTTCTATTGCAAAGATAGGGAAACTGAGGCAGGAAATACCTTTAGAAACAAAACACAGGATTATGCATATGTTGATGGTACAAACAAGAATAAAGTCTACATATAATTACCAGTTATGTGCCCTTTAATCACAAGACAATTTGAAGCTGGAAGATGAGGACTTAATTATTTTCCTTATGCACTAAATGTCAATTTTATTTAATTGCCATAATAAACTGGGCAAAGAGATTATGCTTTTAAATAAAAGACCACAATTATTCTAAAATGATACAGCTATTAAGACAACGTCTCAGAAGCAAAACTGCTGATTGTGGTCTAACTATTACAATAAGGTACTACAGCAGTAGTATAAATCTGCAGAAAAAATGCAGAATTTCTGGTAATAAATAGCCAACTATGCATTTTGCATTGAAAGACTGTTAACTCTCACAGAGCTGGTGACACTACGAATGCAAAGTAACCAAACAAAGGAGTGACATTTTTTATTTGGGTACAAATATCTCCTTGTCAGCAAATTTCCATAAAGCTTTTTGAAGACTGCTCTTGCTACTTTCCTTCAACATCTTTCACATTCTTCTTTTCCTAATCCTTATAATTGCACAAGTTGTATACAGTTAACCACCATTTCATTATAAATCTAGCAGCAGAAGTTATAAAAGCTTTGCTTCACGTGAAACATATCGTACACAGTGTTTTGTAGCATCATTCTCCACAGAAACTGAATGCTAATCTAAAACTTTCAATATGAATGGAAAAAGCACATGTTGTGATGTGCGTTCCCACATTTTTCTACTAGTAATTTATGTGTTACTGTAAATAAACAAATTTCCACAATCTGCTGTGGTTGCCCAGATGCTAAGGTAATGACTCCTCTAAGAGGCAGTCACAGGAATTTAAGACTGGGAAGGCATCCCAGACAGTAACATGCTGAATCCATGACCAACCTTTCATGTATTTTCACTCCATCTCTACCTGACATCATCTTGTTGCTTTTTGGGAAACAGAACTGCACTCTGCACCCAACTTACTGTTTTATCATGCACAGGTGAACCGCCATAACTCAAACACTGAGTCTGCCACAGAATGTTTGGTTCTTCAGGGTTTATGAGGTCTTTTTGAATCACAGAAGTCTACACTAGTCAGTTTGAAATACACTGTGCAGCTGACTGAGAAGAAACAGCTTAGTTCCAGAAGAGTAAACCAGTGGAAATAGAGAGTGATGACTCCAGGTTGGGGAGAAAAAAAGAAAAAAAGAAAAAAAGATAAAAAGTCTGGTAGTCTGTTCTGACCAAACTTACAGTAAAACTTCTATTCACTGCAACAATGTTCTGTCACTTTGAGATCAAAGGGCTGCTCTAATACGCGAAGTCATACAGGTCATTTTGTACTCTGGGAAATTTCTGCAAAGTTTTGCAGGTGTCATTTCATAACACAATTTCCAGCATTTTGCACCAACCTCATTTTAACCGTCTTTTTATTGAACCGCCAGGTAGGATGCCTGCTCCATTTTGAAGCATCTATCTCATTAAAAAAAAATCCTTTTCTCATTTTCCAACAACTTGCTTACCAAAAGCTGTTACAGACATTCAGTGCATTGAACACAGGGAATCCTAGAAGCTAAGGACATGCAGGTAAAATGCTGCTTCTCTCAATATTTATGCAACAAAAGTCATGACAGAGAAAAGACAATTTCAGTGCTAACCAGGTTGCTATCAGAAGGGCAGAAACTACAGGACATGAAGAATCTGAGTAAATTACAGTTTCTGGGAACGTTATCACTGCATTAAGGGTCAGCCTCAGTAGCAGAAAATTTATTTACAGATCTCATTTCATATCTCTTCATTTACATTAGAAGCTGAACCACCTCTTCCCGAGCTCCTTTCCCCCACTAACCACTGGCCAGTCTGTCACTGGAATGCCTGGTCCCAGTAGATGGTCCCGCTAGATGGTGCTACATGAAAACATTTTTCATTACAGACTTCCAGAAAAGAACAAGACTGGGTTTTATCTGAACAAGAGAGACTACGAGAAACTTTTCAAGGCATTTCCCTTCCATTGCAATAAAGGAGAGGGTCTCATGCTGAGTTTTCTCACTTTCTATATGGCTAAAGTATATGATTTTCTTCTAGCCCATACCTTGTAATTAAGGTTTGTCTCCACTATTGGATTAACTTCGGTGGCTCTTGCACATCTCCCTTCCACATCCAGAAATCTTTCTTCGCAGAGTCTAGCAACTTATTTTTCTTTTTTAAATCATGGTGGAGGGCATTTCTAGTGTACAAGCTTAAACTAAGGGCCCCCTTTTAATTAACACCAAAACATACCCACACTTTGCAAAGAGAATGGAGGTTAAATCACTCCAAGTCTGCACCTGCCTGCCATGACTAAACACGTCACCTCCTTTGCTTTTTAAAGATGATGGTGACTGATGCACAATGTGCCGAGGTTGTTGTCACTCGATTACCATGTCACAAACACAAAGAGATCATGCCACCCCAACAGGCTTGTGTTTTCATTAGGGCAAGGGAAGAAACAGATACAAAGAGAAACAGGTACAAAGAGGTGAGGTAACTTGCCCAAGGTGACAGAAGTCAGCAGTAGCATCGGTTGCAAAACCTCGATCTTCTGAAAAGAAGGTGAGAGCCTTTCTGCTTCCAGAATAAATTTCCATAGTCACCAGAAATTACTGGATTTAACACTGGTGAAAACACGGGATAAGAAAACCCCAAAGGCTTCTGCTTATTCCCAGAACAAGCGTAACAGCAGACACCTTCCGCCATTCTGCTTCATCAGCTTCCAGGACACTGCTTTGTCAGTGAGAAGCGTCCCCTTAATGATTACAAAATAGTTCACCCTCTCTGGGTGAGATTAGTTCCTCCTTTGTGACTAACAAGAGACTTTTGTTTGTAGAGGCTTTTGTGGAGTGGGTCAGGCCTGTTGGAACCAAAGCATCTCAAAGGGGTTCTGAACCAGATGTCAGCTGGATTCACTATCAACAAAAATTGGAGGGAGAATGTTCTGTAATATTCTGACCTGTTAGTCTCTTATTCCCGAGCTGAACAGTTTCCTGAATTTCCAACTCATGCCATAATTTTAAAAACTAACCCTATAAAACATTAAAGGAAAAAGGAGAAAAAAATGAAGCAGAACACTTTGCTGAGAAGCAGATTATCAGTCGCTGATCTGGGCATCTTCAGACCACTGGTGTCTGAATGATCCATTGTACTTCTTCTTTCCTCAGCTCATCTTCATACTCAATTTAGTTACAGTCAGTAAAGCCACTGAGATGGAAGCAAGTAAATCCACTTCCATGTCCATTTAGATTTCCATTCAGGAAGTCTGATTTACAGTCAGATGGTATTACATGACAAAACCTGCTTCACCACCTGTGAATAACAATTGCAGCTATGGAAGTTCACCTGCGAAAACTGGGGACCCTACAATCTGGGAGATATCTCTAAATACAAATTTAAGAGAAAAAACTGCATAGGTTTTTAGGTTTAGGTTTGGGGGGTTTTCCTGTCATTTCAGGATACAAGAATCCTTATTACATGCCAGCCATTTAAAATGTGAGGCAGCTATTTCCATAACACAACTAACCTGCCTTCCCAGGTGGAAGAGCACTTCATCCTGACCTAATTCAGATTTTATCCAATGTGTCTGGCAAAGTGATCCAGAAATACGTTGTGAGAGAAAGCAGCCTGCTGCTCTTAATCATTTTACTGCTATAGAACATCCCGGTATTCCTCATGTGTTGTGAATATTGGTGCTCTGCAGGAGAACACCAGGTTGGCTTTCGCCTGATGTTCTGGACTTTGCTGTACCCAAAGACTTGGATATCCATGTGAGTTAACGACAATGCACGTACAGACAGCCTGCAAGGCTCCCGCCAACACTCCTCTGCCAGTGGCTGGTGTTAATGTGTTAATTGTATGTTTAATTGTGCTGTTTCACATGTGAGGCACCACGGCTGTTCCCATTAAACCCAGATCAAACAGACAAAAAAAAGCACGGTGACCAGCAGCAGCAACAATATCTAGGAGTGTCAGTTAGAAACTGTTTGAAAATAGGATAGAAGCGAAGCAGGCTTTGAATAAAGCGCATAGCAGAATGAGTTGCTTGTCGGTTCATTACCTCTCCAAGACTCTGTCTGTCCTGTCTGTCCTCGTAGGCGGAAGTGTAGAATGGCTCATAAGTAATTAGGTCTGGACGTTCAATGTCATAAATGGCCTTGACTTTGGGAATGGCTGCTAAATCCTTGTAATCAAGGATTTCATTGTCTACTTTTGCCTGAAGGTCAAAGACAGAAGATAAATTAACATACACAAATGCACTGGTAATTTCTGTTTTACACAATTTATGAGTTTTGTGTGTTTGTTGTCACACTGTTGCTATGGAAAACGCCTTTTTGGCACTCTACATGCGACATGATTGCTTCTTGTTCTTCTCCAGCAAGCCTTCTCTGCAAAAGCACAATGTTTTCTCAGTTTCGGAAAGAAAGAACATGGCATATACAGATCGAACAGAAAAGTTTCTTATCCCCAGTAGTGAGCTGGAAAATTCAGCTCTGCAAATAATTCCTTTTGTGGCCTCAGGCAAGTATTTTCACCTTTCTGCTCTTGTTCTCCCATATGTAAAACATGTAATAACAGCTCAGATTACAGAGATTGTAAGAGGATTCCATGCAGAAGACCACAGACAGAAATTGAATTTATAACTGTGCACACAAGAGGAAATACAACTTATTACAAGGAAATAAAAAGCAAGCAGGACTTGTCAGGACTGAGTATCCAAACTACCGACTGAAATTATTACATTACACTCATATCCAAGCTTCTAAGGCATGTGTTGCTTATTAACTGTATACTACATAGCACTAACATTGACTACATTTTCCACTAAAACTGCAAGGAGCTCTTGACCAGTTAAAAAAATGGAAGTAGGAAATCAGTTCCAAAGACAGCTGCACCCATTAGAAGGAGCTAGAAAAAGGCCTTACATGTAGTTCAGACAGGTAATATCTTTCCTTACTTAAAAATATACTTAAAAAATCATCATACATTCTTACCTACTTTACAGAAGTACATTTCATGATTAAAACTGAGTATTCAAAAAGGTCTTCTATTCTTCTAATAGATATTTTATTTATTCATAGTAGGCTGTACAAGGAAACAAGGCTGATCTGTTTCTACTCACATTCAGTTCCTAAGTACCAGCCCCTAGCATCTTCAGATTAAAGTGAGTTTGCCTTCTCAAGCTCTCCTAACAACCACTGGTCTTGGCGCCTTTTAAGCAAAGCCATAAATTAGAAACAATATAAAACATTTTTTGGTAGAGAGGTAAGGTTGGAAATAGGAAATCCACTTTCTAAAACCAGCCTCAAATCTGTTTAGTTTTTACTTATTAGATATAAAAAAACACCTTAAGCCAATCTAACCCTTAAAATATGTAGGTATATTACTGCATATTATTTCTGTAACATTTTTACCACGCTCTATTAACGAGCTGCAAATATGTCTGGATATTCTTAATCCAATATAAATTGCCATAGGTATTTTTGTAGACTCTGGTCTAGGCCA